ATACTTCAGCGAACAGTTCAGCTGGCCTATTGCTAACCAGGCTGCTTCATTTCCGAGATCGAAGATCATCGTAGAATGCGTCCTTTCATGCGTCAAAACTGCAGTTGGTCGGCGCATACACTTAAATGAAGAATAAACATCTTTTGGTGTTGCTTCCCTTCCGGACGCTGATTGAACCCTGGAGATGCACTGCACATAAACGACTGTTGACGGGGATCCAATCGATAAGAGAGGACTCAGCCCTTTGACTGAGTACAATACCAACCCCGCACTGACCCACTGAGTGGGCTTCGTCGTCGCCTGACGTGCGAAGAACATATCCCGAAGACAAATCTGGCGCGCTCTGGTGGCTCCTCGTAACTCCAGAGCTGAAAAGTTCTCTTGTTTATCACAATCATTCGAATGATGAAAGAACTGACTCGCGGTAAGCATTTATAGGACGATTCATCTACATTCCTTCTCACCTCAGGCCTGTGTACATGGAATATTGGTTACAGATGTCAAATCTTTGTAGAGCTCGGCAGAATCAAAGCCTCGTTGGAATGTGCAGATTGATGTCAACGGATAAGAGAATGGTTCTAGACAAGAAGTGACTAAAGAAATCATTTGGATCGTGAGGAGACGAATTTCATTGCAATGCTAAAACAGACTCACTCTCATACAGAAACAAACGAAAGTTGTCAGGGATTAACCCACTGGGCGAAACAAGCTCGGGGAAAACAGACCGTCGAACGTAAATTGTACTCACTTTACGACCAAACAGGCATTGGTAGAAAATGACACCGACCGACCATATATCCACCTTGGAAGATATTTTGGGAGGCTCCCGGCCGGTCTCAAAGCATTCTGGCGGTAAGTACCAGTAAGTTCCTGCACCCTGAGAAGTGAGATCCATTCCGGTCTCCGGGTTGTATTCATCTTCAGTCATCAGTTTGCTTAGGCCGAAGTCCGTGATTTTGATCTCCCCAGCTACTTGACCGGAGCCCAGAAGTATGTTACCTGGGTTCATGGACGAAAACAAGTATGATGTACATTAGGCGATATTTGTATTGGTGAAATCGAGTTTCAGCTGATCAACCTGAATGGATTACTATTGTTCAAGAATTTTTTGCTGAAGTCCAATGAACGCAAAACAGCCATCCTTCATTTGGAGTGATTCATAGAACGGTTTTTGTATTATCTGTTATTCTGAAGACCATTCACGTTCATCAGGTGAGAGATCTAAGCAACGTACTTCATTTTATTCCACACCATCGCTCCACTTTTTAACAACTTCGATAAGAACTGAAGAGTATGGACAAATAAAGTTAATCTGCCGATGCACAGAAAAATAAACAGGTTGGTCACACTTGGAAATTTGGGAGACATAAAACGCAACAGAATCAAGGCTCAAAAATGGACTTCATGATCATATATGCGGACTGATAACTCACCCGGTTTTAGGTCATAGTGTATGACAGGTGGTTTACGCTCGTTGAGATACTTAAGAGCGGATACGACCTGGCAAATGATTGACTTGGCTTCGCGTTCTGGGATACTTTTGTTCTGTTTAAGAAAGAAGTCCAAATCATTGCCCTCGCTGTATTCCAGAACAGTGCAAAACCTGGAAGTGCAACAAAATAAAGAACCGATCAAATTGAAGGTCTTCTGAAAGAGATTAGAAGTCAAAGAAAGCTTTCAAACTGCTTTGATGTTACTGTGGAGGTTTGTTTATGTGAGAAAAACTATCAGTTAATATAAACATTGATTTTGAGGTTGTGAACGGTTTCTTTTGAACTTCTTTTCTTCTTGGGCGGGATTAGGTAATTCCTATGGTTCTTTCATGATAATTCAAGGTTGATCAACTTAGAAGCAGTTCTCCAAGTAGATATGGTAGCAATAAACATGCATAAGATCGGCCGTTGCCGTCGCCGCCATTTCGGATTAGGCGTGCCGGTTGCTTGGAAATCCCCCTTCCACAGACAACCTGCTGCCCGAAGTAGCTCCTACTTGTGTACTGAGAGCATCTGCCGCCGACCGCATTTACGAGTTGGTTCAGCAACCCAATGAGCCCTTACTGTCATCATCATCGCACAGCGAGGTAAAGCAAAGCGAAACTCACTGAACGCTGTCAAGCTCCCAATGTACACAAATCAAGTGATAAAGCACAAGATGGAGAGGGATTGGGCCTAATTGGAGGGAGGCAAAGAAAGTGAACTTCCTGTGGTCAACACACAGAGTACACAATCGAACTCTGCATACATACCTTTTAGAGTATTCTGATTTGATAAGAAATGACAACAAGAACGCTAATGCTGTCGGTTAGTCGCCATATCCTTCAGTGTCTTCAATCAGCCAGTTGCAGAATTTTTCGTACCCCAACCTGGAAGACGGAAGACACCTACTCTATCTAATCGCTTTGTGCATTTCTTGATGTTTTTCTGTGGTATTTTGTGACGACGCTATTGCCTTCAGAAACTCAGGTCCTTACCTACAGTCCACCTGCTGCCGTATAATACGAATTGTTGTCGGTGATGCGCCAAATTCAGCATATTACCTTGCGCAATGGCGGCATCGGTGGGGGTAATTAACAATAATAAAAGAAGTTCAATCGATGCGCGGAAAAACGTGATACTTGATAGAAACTTACGCATCATGATCGATATCGAATACGTCGAAGACTTTGACAATCCTGGGGTGATTGAGCGTTTTGTGGATATTGATTTCGCGAAGTGCGTGTCTAAAAGGAACAGGGATAACAGCGTTCACGATAAAAATAAAGCTTCTGGTTTGAAATAAAACTTCAAATATTCACAAGTAAAACAGATTCATGAGTGTTGCTTACTTGATGTAATTGTCTTTTTTGTCTTTTGGCCAAGCAGGATTCAACTGATGCACTTTACAAGCAACGTACCGATTTGCAACCAAGTCGAAACCCTGTCAACGGCGAAGAGAGAATGAATTAATAGAAGAAGCAATCATGCAACCGAGCACAAGGCGTATGTGAGAATTCGACTATAGATATGAGCGATCAAAAGTGGTAAAGAATGGTTTTCTGAATTCGAAATTCACAAAGTCGTAGCTTTCGTATTTTCTTCTAACACATGGTGCAGCTAACTCGATTCTTTTTTCGTTACACGCGGGTGATGAACAGCAAACGGAGTGAACCCATGGACGCAAAGACCTGCTACACAATCATGAGAACCGGCACCATGAGCCCCGGGGCTTGGAGTGGCGACATAAGACCCAACTAGGTTAAGCTTGGTATTCCAAAGGGTGACATGATGAACAATTTGCGCCTATCATTTCAAACGTTATGCCTATAACCGATCTTCTGAGGAATCTGATGGAGAAGTTAACAAACAATATCAAAGGCTTTCAGGATAATGAGTAGGTGCACCAGTGCCATTCTTTACGACACTCAGACATAACATACATTGTCTGTAACCGACGAACCCAGAGGTCCACAGCCGGGAAAACTAACTCAACCGATGTGACCAAGTCGCCAGATTGAAGTGTTTATAACCTCTTGCAAGGTTTTAATTTAACGACCTCATACTTGCTTCCATCCAATACCCATATCGGCAAACATGAGCGAGCAGTATCTAGCCTGTTAGGAAAATATTGATTTCCAACTGACACGTGGTAATCCTTAGATGCAGTTCAGTTTGGTTTTTTCAACCATCAACCATGCACTTTCGTGCGCCGGTTTTGGTTGCCTATTTGGATAAAACAGCAGAATGATAATTAGAATGTTGAGGGCATCATCTCTGGGTCCCCAGCCAGGGAGCCTAACGGGACCTATGCGAGCCAATCTCCTGATCAGGGTTGTCATACCCTCATGCCGGGTCTTAGTTTGACTGCCCTTCCGATGGAGTAGCGGAATGCATTGGTTTACCTAAAAATCGTATGGACATACTCTGAGGGCTCAATGCAAGACCCAATGATTTCGTTGATCTGACTACAAAAAAATGTGAGGCGCATTTCATCAAGTGAATAATACGACCCAGAAGACCAAGCAGATGGATAATATTTTTTTCTACGAATTTCCGACTTGCTTATCTATGAGGCAGATGAGCAAATTTATAATAATGGCGGTGGTCGAAAGACAAAGTGCTCCAAGGCATCGTATGGTAATTTTTGTCTAAATCCCGAAATTATCACCACTACTACCACCGCCTAGTATGTCCGTGTGGCAGTATACGATCAGCCGCAAATCCCATCCCAGATAGTGCAATGTAGAAACTCAAACCAATGCAAGGAAGATTATTTGATCAATGTGATGAGGTATGAACAAAAAGAGAGCAGTGGCACAGCGCGAATATTAAAAAAGAAAAAGAACGAACCGAACAAAAGCGCATAGAAAAACCATGACACACCTTGTGCACCTCGGAGAAACCGCCTTTGCCTAGAAGATTCAACAATAAATACCGATCATTCAGTAATGGATGATCCTTGAATCTTGACGCGTCCTCGTTTGCAATACGCTTAATCTCCCTAATGTGCAGATTTCTTTCGCGATCTAATCGCTCGAGTTCCATTTGAATCTCCTTATCTTCTTTTGCGAGCATTTGCTTTCGAAGATCATAGATCTCCAACTGTTCGTAGAACTCGTCCACGGATACTCTGCAAGTAAATAGTAAAAGAAGTGAGTTAAATAGTTCATTTCTCGGGGAAAACGTTGGAAACAGACTACGATTACTACTTTTGACCTTGCCCATCACACACTATAACAACTTTTGTCATGGAGGATAAAACCTATGGTGCTACATGTAAAACTAGCAAAGCTGGTCTTGAAGACTTTGATGGAAAGCCTAGAGAAAAAAAGTAAGATGTATCGGGAAACAATAAAACAAAAACGCGGGTCATCAATCCTAAGAGAAACTGAAATAATGAATATTCACTCGCGTTGCATATAGAGATGACTTAACTTGAGCAATAACTGATAACCAGAAGCAAATTACGATAACTTACTCATCGCCCTTGGATTTTGTGTTCTTTTTTCCATCCCCTAAAGACGGTTTGCGTTTATTCCACTGTTTCTTTTTGCGTTCGATTTCTTCACGGACCAATTCAATATTTTTCCGTCGTCTGTGGAGAAACGCATACCATTGTATAAGTGTGACATTTACCATCACACTACTCACAAAGGATTAGTAAGTAGAACAGGTATGCACAAAAGTCTCCGTGGAGTATCAGAAGAGAGAACTGAATTCAGTAGATCATGATCAGAATGCGAAGAAGACTCATTTTTCGTAGGCCGCAAAGCTCGAAGCCATTACACTAATCATAAATGAGAATTAGTTTACAAACGGAACGGGCGTCAGAGTGAAATGCTTCATGTAGTTCAATTACTAAAACAGCAATTTTACGAGACATGCGGTTCATTATCACAGCGGATTCGGATTTGCATGAAGACAGTGTATAGAATGAGAAACTTTATTCTCGTTAGAGTTATATGCATGAGGGTACTGTTAAAATAATTCACTTACTGGTCCAACTCTTTAAATCGAGAGCCCTCAATCCATTTTTCTTCAAAATGAGCACCTTGGCGTTGAGTAACAAATTGACCTAACCGAAGCCGATTTTCCATGACTTTTTGGCGCGTCGTCTTTCGTTCCAAAACGCTCTGTTTGTGTGGAAGGTGGAAAACAGCAGATGAGTAGAACATTCATGGAACCAATGAATTAGATGTAAGCAGCCAGTTCTGTCTAATGTACCGTCTTACCTTTTCAATCAGTAGTTCTCGAATAACTTCACGCGATCTTTGAGCGCTTTCTTGCATTTTAATCATATTTTCACGTTGCAATGCTGC